ATTCTTCAGATGGGTGTTGATTAAAAACAAATGAACATTGATTGTTGAATGTTTATGAGATAAAAGAAGTTTTATTTATCCCCCTTAAGATCATGGTTCTGTGCGGAATTTGGTCTTTGGTCTTTTTTTTAGGTGGGTTTTCTTTAAGATGATTAAATTCTTTCCTTTTTTTTTTTTTTAATAACATTAGTTTTACATGATAAATGGTGGTGATTCTAATGGGGTATGCCAAAAACACTTTTGAAATTGGAGTTAGTTTGGTATAGAAGGTGATGAACCTTTTCAGAGCTGCTTTCTGTTTTCTCTTTCAGTAAATGGGTTTTTGTTGTGTTCAATAACCCAAGTGGACTTATCAGATTGAAACATATGGCGTTCAGTTTCAGTGCTGGGAATTTTGGGTCATATCATGTTCTGACTAGGGAAAAAAAAAGATAAAAGGATCTGATTAGGGAAAAAGTGCTCGGGTTTTTATTAGCTTTAGGATCATATTGGTTTCATGAGGCACTACTGGAAGAGGTGAACGAATCAGCTGTTTGACTGGGGATAAGTATACTGCAAAAATAAAGTTGCATCTATCTGCTATATGATGACTAGTACAGTTAAAACAATCCAATGATCAGGAGTTTCAGGAGGAGTTGGCTAGAGGTGTCTACAAGCATAGACATAGTTAGTCATAGTAAAAGTCATATTCCTATCGGATATGGAATTTTTTACATGAAGAATGTACAAAATAGAAGTCGAGCCTTACTATTTTTCCCTGCAATAATGTATTGAGACATTATTGGAGGGAACCCAAAGATGATCTTGGAAGATAATTGGCTCTTGGTCTAGTCTCATAGTAGGAAGATTTATTAGCCAATTCTTGGATCTATCCTGCTTCTAGATCCCTGGCTAAAGGCGCATTGTATTTTAGTTCCTTGTTAGTACACAGTTTCTACAGTTGTCAAATATTTAAGGCTTGGATGCTCTTAACGATAAGCATTGATGCAGTGACATCCAAATCCCTTTAATAGGCCCCCTGCTTATTTAAACAATTTAATGAAGTATCGTTATTTGAACACAATAGAAATCTGGCATTGATGATCTTTAACATGGCTATAGCATTAGGGAATTTAGGTGTGTATCATTTCATTCTACTGGCATGTTGCTTTGTTGCGTAATTTGGAGTTGGATGTTGGCACTAGGGGTTTTTGGCGTACTTTTTAAATAGTTTTTTGTGCAAAAATGTCAATTTCTTTGGCTTTCTTTTTTACTTCTTCCTAGAAGTTGATGGTTGCAGATGCATTAATTGGCAGTCAACTCAATTTTAATCTTTTTCATATAATTAAGTTTCTAATATTATTAGATTTAGTTAGAAGTAGTAGTTTGAGGAGTTTTTCTAGCTTGGCAATTTGTTTGTTTCCTATCTAATTGGATTTACTTCCTTCTATAAGATCTACAGAAGTTTTTGAGATTTTGAAAGCAGAGGTCACTTTTTCATGTGCTCTTTCTTGCTATTTCCTCTGCTTACCTTCACTTCATGTTTTTGTTGTCTTTTTTCCATTGGTTCTCTTAGTGTCTCCTTATTTTCCTCATTCTTATTCTCACACTACATCAGTTGATAATGGACTAGTTATCTTGCATGAATACATGCATTAAAAAAATGTGAGAAGCAGGTGAGAATTTAATCACATTTGCATATGCATTGATAGCAAACATATATTACATGCTAAAACAAAATGATAAGATACATAATGTACTTTTTTGATAAAAATGTGGTGTAAAGAAATGAATCACGAGTTAGTCAGAAAACAAAAAAACGTGTGTACCAAACCATCCTCCACAAAAGGCTTATTGTTGTTTGTTTTATATTGATTGGGCTGCTTTAGGGATCATTAATGTATTCTTGCCTGTTTTGGCAGTCCAACACAATTTTTTGTTGTTTTCTTTCTCCAGGTAGCAGATTTTCTTTTTCTTTTTCTCATTATGTCATGGATTCCAGATTCACACAGGTCATAATAATTAATTCTTAAAACTTGTCTTTTGTTGATGTCACTAGATAACTGTGAAAGGGATGTTGTTGTAACACGTGGCTTTTGGATTTCACTGTGATCAGAGAGACAGATAATGCCATTATACTTTATTCACATGAGATGCGGTATGAATGATTAGTGGATGATACTCAACCCAACCTAATTAAGCCTTAATCTCGAAAATTCTTCTTTTTTTTTCAGTTTTGGGCACGTTGGGGGAGGGGAGGGGGGAGGGGGGTGTAAACATCATTTGCTACCAGTTTGGCTGAAGGACAACAGCATGATATAGCTTTGTGTTTAATTTACATGTCATTTGTCATTCCTCATGGTATTACATCTTATCTGAAATTCATTTTGTCATCAAATGTGGATAGCTATGAAGTACCTAGGACTCTTTTTTGTTTGCCTGTAGTTCAAATATATGGTTTAGATTAAATCGGGTATCCCGTATTTCTAACACACATGCTTTTTATACATCTTGTGCTTGATGGTTCATGACTGGAGTAGTGAATGAAATATCCTATCAAGATTACTTGGCTTCATTGAAGGAGATGAGAAAATAAAGCTGTATGTGATGCCATTTTTACGATGGCAACAGAGTGTCCTATGAGAATGGTAGAAAGTGATGGACATGGAAAGTGGTCCTCGTCTAGAGATACTGCTGTATTTACTTCATCTTTGAAAAATATGGAAGTAGAGGAGTTGGGAATGATTCTAAAGGGGCATAGATTACATGGAGATCAAGCAGACATGATTTTAAATCGAAGTGGTAGTGCCCCACCTAGCATAGAAGGCTCATTTGCAGCTAGTAGAAACCTTTTTTCACAAGAGAACCCTAGTCCGACTACAGGCTTGGCAAGTTTGGGCAGCATATCTGAGGAACGGTTGCTTTCTGATCCAACTTATTTGACATACAATTGTTCGAATGTCAACTTGAATCCAAGGCTTACTCCACCACTTATCTCACGGGAAAATAGGCATTTGGTGCATCATATTGGTGGGCTTGGTGATAATTGGAGGTCAACTTCTTTAGATGACGGTGATGATGCATCCTCACAATTTTCACAAAGGTCCCTTTCCACTCATAAGCAGGAGCCTGAGGATGATTGGTCCCCCAGAAAAGCCTTGAACCACTGGGAAGAAAATGGTGCTATTCTGCTGGGAAATAACAAAGTACTGTTGAAAGGGCAACATAAGAGTTTGGTTGATCTGATACAGGTATAGGTTTTCTCATGCCTCACTTTTATTTTTATTTATTTATTTTCTTCCCTTGGTGGTTCAGCATAAGATTGGGACCATAAGCTTCAATCAAGGTGTATAATACCACTCTATTGAGGCTTTTCAGTATCTTCATTACATGCTATAGAACTTGGTGGTAGTTCTTTTGAGGTATATTGTTTTTAATTAACATGCTTGGTTACCTCGAATGTTACCCTTTTCTCTCAGGGGGAGTAGTTGTTTGTTTTTATTTTGTTGGTTGAGATCACTAGAGTAGATTTTTATCAAGTTTTGGGAAATGTTCTTTATTAGATGCAGCATTGGTCAATAAATGATGAATCATTCTTGGGTTGTAGATTTCTCCTGTGGGATGTTTTACAGTTTTCCCTGACTTTTTCTCTGTGAATAAAGTTATGAATGATTAATGTGGCTGAGAAAAACATCCCATGTATGTTTATGGTAAGAATAGTATGAAAATGAGTAATTGGCATGTCTGCAACAGCAAATAATATTGATTGACTTTGATGAGTTGGATAGTCTTAGTGAAGTCTTGATTTAGCTGGCAACTTGGTCTGATAACTTTGTATGATAAAAAGAATTAGGAGGAACCAA